TCCTTAATGGACGTGATAAGAAGGGTATATATTGAAAAATACAAAACTCATGGTGACATCAGCTCGGCTAATTCTGTAGACGTTCTCTATAGTAAGTTTTTCTGTCTGTAAACAAGAAACTAGCTCGTTCCAGGTGTTCAGTTAGAAAACCATGCGTGGAAGTAAAATTCAAAGCACGATGATATCGACGGAGCGAATGACAGAATGTTTGGGTCGAGTCGAAAAAAACTGAACAAGGGATTGGTAGTAGGGAACACGACCTGGCTCAAACCTCCTCGCTGATTTCTACTCGACCCAAACCTCCCTCCTGTTTTCTACCCGATCCAAACCTCCTGTAGCGTTGCAGTCGTGTCTTCCGTTGTAGCTATGTCCTCACACCTAATGACCAACAGAATGTAGTTTTATTTTTTCCAACCAAAGTGCGTTGTGACCGTCTTTTCTGCGTGTCACTCCCCATCTAGGGGAGAGAAGCAATGCAAAAGTGTAAGAATATCGTAAAGATTTCCTCGCTCGAAGTTTGACAATTTCAAAAGGGGTAAATTCTGTGAAATTGATTCTTTAGGTGGAATAAATCCTGGGGACTTACCGTAACCAACTTTACAACGATTTTCCATTTGATCAGTGAATTCTAGAAAAACGGGGTAAATTATGTGAAATTCATCCCTTAAGTGGAATATATCCTATGGACTTACCGTAGCCATCCCATATCAAACTCATGGGGTACAAATAGTCTTAACATGAATGTAGTGACCACCCCCACTTCAACACTCCACTCAAATCGACTGTAATTTTCGAATGTTTTACCATCGTGCGGATTCTCTACGGAAAAAGCACTCAATGTACCTCTGAAATATTAAACTATAATATTGTGGCTTTCTATTTCGCTAATTTTCTAACTTGAAGGTAAAGTTTTTCCCTCGTCATTTTTACATTTTCTCCGAGCGATTGCGTGAAATTAACAAGGCGTTTTTGATCAAAATACGACCGAGCGCAGGGTCTCGGGTGATATCTCTTTTACGCAGGCGCAAATTAGAAATGTACCGCCAGAAGCAGAAAGAGTAACAAATTTTCTTTTGTTTTGATATGTAAAGTGTCGAACAAAAAGCAGATTTACCCTCGTCAAATGGCGTTTCAAAACAGCTATATCTTCCTCCTTTTGATTTTTCCTGTTTTGTAAGCGTGAAAGCAGTAGGAGAGGGATCGGGAAACTCAGAAAGCCCTTCGGGAATTAATCTGCCATCGTTTACTTACAAGATAAACAAGTAAGATTTGTGAAGTTCATTGAAGTATGAAGTCTAAATAAATGCCTTTTTTAAGCTTGTTTGCTGGATTTTTCGTAAACTTCCCTGATTAATTTTTCGTTTCAGCTTACTAATCTATACTATTTCAGAGCAATGTAAAGACGGAGACGAAGAACCAGTCCTTTCAACAATCGTAAACAAAGTTTTTGAGCAGTCAGGTATACGAGGTGTAATAATCAATAGCCGCATATCAGAAGTCTTCAGAAAGAAAGTATTCTGTATTCAGAAAGCTGTCAAGAAAGCTAGTAATCGTGGCGGAAGGCAATTAAATGCACTTCTTAGCCAGTTGGAAACGGGCCGTCGGTGTCGATTTAATATCATATCGATCTCAATATCATATAGTTTGTATCTTTCCTCCGTGGATTCGCCTTTCTAACGAGGGATGTATGTGGAGTATTCATTGCAAAATCGCTTTGTTTTTTTTATTACCCTCTTTGGCCTGTCCGCCATTTTGAAAATTCGTCACGGAGAGCATGCGCATTACGTGGGGTCAGTGGTTGCGTACACCTGGAATCGAGAAAAACAAATGTTCGTTGCACTGGGGAAAGAGTTTGATATGCTTACACCAATTTTCCATTTGATCATTGTGTGAATTTGTCATAAACGGGTAAATTATGACAAATCCACCCACAAGTACAATATATCCTACAATGATTTAGAAATTTTACTAAAAAAAGATGTGTTTAGGTGATGGGATGGAAAACGAGCATGGCTCAGGGATAGTGTATATTCGTGAACGGCTACCGCACTGGCTTTCATGTGATGTACGTGCTCATAACTTTCACGTGAGGAATTTGGTTTTCAAAGATCATTGTCTTTCAGATTACTGAGCTTGAAGCGCTCAGTGGAATAACAACAGAGCGCTCTAGATCTGTGACAGTATACAATATGCGGCTAGGTGTAACAGCTAACATTAGTGAAACCGCAATAAAATCACAATCTACTACTTCAACCTTTTTAACGGAAAGCTCAGCACGATACAGCAAAAATCCACAGTATTCCAAATAAATAACTGAAGACCAACTTCTGTGACTGAAGGAAGACTCCGTGATGCAGACAAATAATCACAACTTTGACCTCTCAGTCGATCTCACCTCTGGCAGATCAGGATGAAGCGTCAAAAAGTATATAATTATGCGTCGACGAATCATAATCTATGATCTTCAACTATTAAAGAAAATAAATCAGTTATGATATGACACCACATTGACCTTTTGTCAATAGAGTCGCAAGTCGAGCGATGAAGACTGTAAATAAAGCAAAACTGCAGGGAAGTAATGTGTGTGAGAGAAAGGCCAATGATCTGGTTAGCGATGACCATGCAGATAGCAAGTTTTCCTGAAATCAGCAGGAAGTTGTTCATCCGTTGTTACTGGAAAATACTGCTCAAATTTTCCACTTATCCCGACCCCCTTGAATGAGTACTTTTGCTTAAAGACAGAACGACAACGGAGTCTCTTAACCAGTCCCAAGCCGCGTGTTGCTCGATAGATCACAAGATATGATTGGCCACTGTATCATATTACGTCAAAGGACATATCTAACATAAGGGGGCATAAGCACAACGGTACAATCTCCCTCCTGTTTTCAATCCGACCCAAACTTGTTTCCTGTTTTCGACCCGAGTCAAACCTCCTTCCCGTTTTCTACCCGACCCAAACTTTCCTGAAACAGGACAACAAGAAAGGAAAACAAACCAGCAGACACACCAACCAAAAAGAAAAATATACAATCCTAACTCAGGGCTTCGAACAACCGCTAATAAGACAATTAAACAGGAAAAACTATTACGAACGACAGATGAGTAAATAGACTTGGATAGATGGTAATTTTTTTTCTTTTCTTTAATTTTCTTTGCAGGCGGAATAGAAGCAAGACTTGTCTTGTCTGCTGTCATTTCTCTCTCCACTTCCTGAAATGCCATCGGTGAGTTTTCATCTTAATTTGGAAACATTGAAGCTTCTCCTGAGTCAATCATCGTGTTCTCAATTTTTTTTTTATTGAGGAAGACTTTTCGCTTTTACGGCTTCCTCCACATGTAGGTCGTTACAAATTCAGTGTCAGGGGAAAGGTGATGAAATTACAAATGTATATATATAAATTTTTTTTCAATTAATATCTTTGTTCGCATTTCTGCTTGATGGTCCTTTCCATTTTTTCCTCGTCATTGTTGTTGTTTTTTTTATTATTTTTTGACTCTATTGTATACTGTTTATTAAAACAGTATTATTATTTGAATATGGAACACAGCGTTAAATTAGAAATGGAAGTTTAAAAAAAATAGCCGTCGCCGTTCACGTTCTCCAGAGAACGCAAATTTGGGTCATTTCACGTTGTTGTTCTGCAGATTTACACAAAGAAATTTACAAAGATTTTCTACCGACGTGCACAGCCGTTGTTCGGCTTATTAAACGTTTTGTGTCGTGTCATTCCCGTCGCCTTCGCTTTCGCTGTCGTGGTTTTCTTAAACTCCCTATTCAAAAGTGCGCTCTATGTTTTTTGTTACCGGTCGTTTCCAGGACCATTGGTACCCAGTCGGTTGAGTTGTCTCGCACCCTTACTAAGAAAGTATGTTTTCCATGTTAAGTATGTTAAACATAAGGTCGGTTTGTGACGTTACATAGGAATAGCTTGGTAACTTTATTTGTACTGAAAACAAGTTCAGATTTTTAGGTCGAGAAGGCGACTTTTCGTTTCCATACAAGTCCTTATATTTCGCCCACTGTACAAAGTAAACATGTTTGCATATTAACGGTGGCTGTTTGGAAACTTGAACTGCCTTTGCCCAAACTGGGCTGTTTCAAGTAAGCGCCCTTTCTTGAAGTACCAAAAGTAAGTGACCGCCTGGACGCTAAATCGAATCATTGCGGCATGACAATGATGATGATGATAGCTCTAGTATTTAAGACACTAATAATAATAATAATTATGATGATGATGATGATGATGATGATGATGACAATAGTAGTGATGGGGAAAATAAAAACCATAAAGATGATAAGGATAACACAGGAAGACGACAGAAATATAACAATGAAGATTTTCAAGAACTCTAAACCCGGAAAAATTGTGTGAGTCCTTGGTTGGACCTTAAGACTTCTGTTTACGGTTTGGTGCACAAATTTATAACGAGAAGGAATTCGTTGACGAATCAAGCCACCTAGTACGCTTGTTATGTGACAAGCAAACTGTATGTTGCTAGAATAATTATCTGCAATGTCTTGTGCGTTAGTGTGTCATTAAGATTTTATTGTTACCTTTTTTTTCTTGTTATTTTTGCTAGGGGAAGAGTCTCCGATTTTCTGGATATCAGATAGCGTACGCATTGATTGGTATAATAAAATGAATTTGATGTCAGACAGTATCTTAAATGCAAATCTTCTGTCTGTTCCTTTGTTCGTTTGAATGATCGACATCAATATCTGAGCAATTGCCACCTACCCCTCCCCTAACCCAACAACAGTCAACTGTTTACCGTAGATTCATGAAACGACACCTTTATGTTGTTGGCAAAACTTAAATTTGAAGAGATTCAGATTGTTTATGATTAAACCATAGTTGAGAGGCAACGCAGTCGCTTAAGGGAAATAATAGTATTTTATGAAACTGCAAATTTTAAGTCATTGTTGATACTGTAAGGTGGGCTCGTAATTTCGCAATGCTCTTGGTACAAATGAGATCTTACCATGAAGCTCTTTGATGTTTTATCTTCGATTCTTTTCTAGGTTTTGGCACCCTGAAAATTTTTCTGTCAACCATGGCTGCTGCTCTGGCAATCGTTTTCAAATCGAAAGAATTGCTCAGCCCAGAATTATGGAAACATTTGAAAGAGACCGGAATTGCTTCGTTGCAAGTTTTACCGATGTATATGTTGTATCGATTTGAATCTTAAGAATGAGTCATATGATTGCATCACATTGTTATCGAATGATCGTTGTGGGCGTACTGTATAAAAGGCGGGAAAATGCGAGTGACCAAATCACGATTCGTTCAAGTTTTGAATCTGATTGGTTTAGAAGGTGGCGCGAACTTTCTGGACCAATCACACAGCGAGGTTAAGCAAAATCGAAGCAATCATCGATTACTTTCGACACTCAATTGAAAAATACTCTACTACATGCAGAATGCAACTCTAAAGATTGTTTAAGCATCGAAACAAGCGGCAGGGGACGCGATCTATTACTCATGGAATGTTGTTTTTAAAGACCCACTTTGGCCTTGGCTATTTTTCTGGTGTTGTTCCAGTTGTTTCTAACACATTTCGTCTTCTGTGACTCGACTTATATTGTTGTATATTTGCTGAATCTTTGTTGCGTGGTATGCACGCCCTGAACAACTGATCTACTCGTAACAAACACGTGTAGGCATTTATAACTAGTACTAGGCCTGGCAGAGTGCAGTCTAATTCGGTCCGTAATTCATTAAGTGATTGACAAAATTATTACAGCACGTGTATAACGCGTATAGTCACAGGCATGTTGCGTTAGATGGCCAGTTACAAGCATAACGTAAACCATACACTGTCCCATTAGTGCACTAATCAAAACTATAGCGAAATTCTCGAACGTGATTGGTGATCACCAGCTTGACTTGAGCACTAATAGGACAGTGTCATGTTTGTAATTGGACAGTGTAATAGGACAGTTAAAGGGACACTTAGCACGTCATGCCTGTGTAAGTGAACAGAACGCGTCATGTACTGTTGTCTCGCATTTCGCCGAGTAACTGTTGCTTTTTTTTTCTTTTTCTCTTTTTAATGAAAACTTAGAACAACAACCGATGTCTTGTTTCTTTTTCAAATTTTGGTACGACTACAGGCCGTATTGGACTCCGCTCGGTCCTAGTTGGCTGTTTATGACCAATGGCGTAGCAAAATTTATTATCGTGTTAATTGTATATGTCATATTTAGTGGTCAACTCACGCCTCGCCGAGAGAACATTCAATACAAAGCTGCGGTAGATTAATTGAACGTCGCCGACAGAGACGTCTCTGATAAGAAGGTTTTTGGCATATATCTACATTTTTATTGTTGTTATTCATTTTGTTGTGGTGGTAATGGGTGTTGTTGTTTTCGTTCCTGTGATGGTTGTTGTTGTTTCTGTAGTTGTGGTTGTTGTTTTGTTGTGTGTTGTACTGGTAGCATCCAGGTTAATTAGTAATTCTCTTAAATTCATATCTTGCTTATGGGTCACTTAGCTTAAAATATTCAGCCCGTATCGTGTACACTTTATTTTTGGTCTCTTTCCATCTCTTTCAGGCGGCTGTTCTCCATCATGTCGTACTTTTTCTTCTTCTACAACATAATTCTTGGAATTTTCTCTGCTTTTATGCGAATTCTAAAGGCCATGCTTTTAAGAGTAATTTTCATCTCACATATCGATCAAACATCACTGATGCAGGGTTTTCAGGCTTGGAACAAAGGTACGTAGCACGCACTCAGTACAAGCAATTTATAAATGGCAGAGGCTATGTGAAGGAAGATATACAACATACAGACCTATTATGCTGCCATGTTGTTCACTATTTCCTAAAACAGCCTTTAACCAATGAAATTAATGTTTATAAGACTTCAGCGACGAAAGGAAAGGAAAGCAGAAATTCCTCGGTGACAAGATCCAACAAATTGCCTAGAACACAGCAAAAGGTAGTGGCTCAGTAGCGATTTGTAATAGCTTCACGTCTGATTGTTCGAGAGGGTTGCACGAGATTTATAGAGTTGTCGTTGTGCTAACCAAAGCATAACCTATGGGATCCTGGACAACCTTCGACCCTCACTTCAAAGTTTCTTAATTTTCTTTCTAGCTTTTGTCGCATACCTTGGTTTTGTAACCGTGCTGGTTGCCCACAGACATCCCGTGATGCTGGTGTTGTGTCAGTTGCTTATTGACAGACAAAAAGATCATCAGCTCCTGCAAGAGCGTAAGTAAACTGTCTCCAGAATCACGACTCGACTGGGGTGATGCATTCCTAGGATTCTGATTTGCTTGATTGATAATCAGACAGATGAGTGTGCGCACGAATGGGCAACTGTAGCTTAGAGACAATTGGCACGTCTGTTTCCCTGATAAGATCAAAACACAGCGCTGTTTATGCACTGGCAACCGGCACTCAGCAACCAAGCAGAACACTTGAAATGATATTTTCACGGAGGGCTAGAAATACATAATTTTCTTCTGTTAAGCGTTGTTATTACTGTGAAATCGTGGAAAATCTGGCAGAAAACGTACCCCATTCCCCAAGTTAGATTTGAAAAAAATGGGTACCATTGAGAAGAAACTTACGATGCGAGCTGTGTTCGGTTTGTTACTATTCATTTCATATCCATTCTGTGGTCACACGGGAATATTGAAAGTTAGCCTTTCTTTTCTGCCACTTTGCATAGTTTTTTGAGGAACTAACACGTATCTCACTGACAGTTACTTTTCAAGCCGATCATTAAAAAGATGATTGCATCCTGGGTGATATAGAACAGTTTTAAGCCTTTCATGAGGAGAAAAGAAACATCCCTACGTGTGTGACCTTTTTTTCACCTTGAGTCTGAAGTGCTTTAGTATTCCGTTCTTAACGTTAAAATTAGTTTTCAAGTACTGTGTGTTAAGGCATCTTTTGTCGCCGGATCTCCAACAGAGCTTATATATTGTAGGTTTGGCATCGAGGCAGGACGCTCTGAAGCTTTGTAATATTTGTTTTAAATGACTTTTAACAAAAACTTTTTCACAATAGTGAAGGAAAAAAAGACATTTTGTCTCCCTTCTTACTCAAAGTACGAGTGAAATTTCTCTCTTTTGGCCTATTTTTTCTATTGCTATGATTCCTTTCTTTTCATGAACTAATTTTTTGAAGGGTAATTAACATGAAATACTCGACGAAGTCCCTCCATATCTCGTCCAAACCTCTCAAACGCAGCCTATATTGCCGTTCCTCTCTCTTTGCCTTTCAGGCTTTAGTCGGGAGCCCCGTCAGCCGCGCATGTTTGAAAAGGCTGTCAACTCTGGTTCCTGGCCGTGACTCTCCTACGCAACCCATCTTTTATCAAGTACTGCCGCCAAGGCCGCCATTTCACGGCGTCTGTTGTGACTCTTGGAAGCGTCAACTTTGACGTTCCAGTGTAAAACTTTGAGACTAACTGCTTCACTTTTCCGGAGATCTGCTATAGGTTGGGGTAAAGGTCTCCCTGGTTTGTTACCACAGTATAATATAGTCTGTATCTGGGTGTTGTTGTTAGTTTTTTTTTTTTTTGTATTTTAAATTTTTGAGTCAAAATGTTACTCCCCTAATGAAAGCTACTCTAAATTATGGGCTAAACTGTATTACCCACGAAGATTGTGGTAGAGAAGTGAGCAAGGAAGCACACAAAGTACTTATTGAAAAAAAAATTTAAATTTTGGATTTTTATTGCTGGCCTCGGAAATGGGAATTGTATTATCTGGCAAACATGGAGAGGCAAATGGCAACATTTGCAATTTAAGATGAGTTTTTTGTAAATCTATTTCTCTGAAAACGATTATGGATTCTAAAAATGGATTTGTGTTCTTTGATACATTTGAATTTTATGGTTTTTTTTTAAAGATAATATATCAGGTATTGGAAAGTAATATACACAAAAAGAGCAAGTAGTTTACGTTAGGTTAAAAGCCAAGTATATAGAGAAGAAAAAAAAGAGAAAAAAAATAAATATTGCGGTTTGCTCAGGCGTTTTAAGCGGAAGTGTTTTGTTTTTTGAAAGTAAGAAAAGTAAAAATTGGCACACGATACCAAATAATGTTGTGAATTAATGAAGTCCGTGATTAGGGGAAAGTTTTGGGAAGGAAGGTGTGGGTTTGGAACTGAGGAGCAACGAACCAACGGTAGGAAAGAGAATACGTAGTTAACAGACAGCTGTGAGCATTAACCACATGAGTGTTTTGGCGAAGGCCGATTTCTTTCACACGCGCGAATATATTCATATACAACTAGCGAACTCCAACATCGTGAAGACCTCTGATCTTTCTCGAAAAAAACCTAGCGGAAGTGGAAAGTGAGGTGGAAGTGAAATATTGGATTGCTGGGACTACCGGCGAAACCGGATTTCATTCAATTTTGTTTCCTCGTTTTTATCCGCGCGGGGACCCCGGCCGAGTTCCCGCTGGTTCCCTGTTACAAATCTCCTCACCGGCATTCCGAGAGAGATCCAGACAGGTGTCCCGTGAGAATCTCGGCGGGAACTTGCGAAAATACCGGCGTACACTCCAGAGGGAAATGACATCAAAGAGCTCGTCTTCTTTGTCTCATAACTAACCATTTCATTCATTCACATATATACGAGGACGGTACAATCGAGCAACCCTTTTTTAACCCGTAACTGAGTGTTATCACTGAGTGTTATCACCGTTTAATAATTTTAACAACAAAAGACAAGAAAACAACATTTTGTACCCTAATTTATCATTTCTTTTTCCTGTAAAGCTTATTTTAAAAATCGCTCAAAAATATATCAAATGATAGCAACAAAACGATGATGCAGAATTCTAACAGCTGGACCTCTTGGTAATCACTAAGGAAATGATTTGCGTCATTTTCTTGTGTAACATTTGTCAGATACAAACAGTCCTATAGGAAGAAAGATAATTTGCAATGCGTTGAGGACATTTGAACTCTAACTATTAACACTGATTTTGGAAGACAAATATGGAAAAAATTTTACTTCAGAGAGAATTCGTCGTTTTATTTGAGTGGTTCCGCCCTAAGTAACCGTACCATACAACCCGAACAGGCTGATGGGACTCAATCAAGGATGACCACAACTGCTTAATAGAGACCACCGCTGAAAAGCAGTGAAAGTGACAATGCGTGAGCTTCATTAAGCATCTCAGATTGAATAGAACAGGAATGCGTAGCGACAAACACTCTCCCCATGCCCGTCTCTCCCAGGTTGACCCTTACCTCCACGTTTTTTCCACAGTTCTCCCAAGGAAATGGGGAGAGGTTGAGCGAATGAGACATAGGTGCGCTCAGTACTCCACACGAAAAGATGTGACAAAACATCATATCTGTCACATAACGTGCTAAAGAAGTACATCGCGTGACATCCTAAGAAACGGTTACCAATGATCGATATTAGCAGTTTTAGAGTCAGAAAATATCGAAGTTTATCTCTCATTCAGTAAACCTGTTCAAATTCAAAAAGAAATGGGCAAAAGTTGTTAAGCGAATACCAATTCAAACGACAAGAAATGGCCTATGCAGGTTGATGCAGAAATTTTCTTCCCTTTCTTATTGATTTCCTCTTCCATGTTAACAAAATACCAAGCGACTTGTTGCATTGTTTGACATTTAAATGTTAGTTTATTGTACTTAGATAGCAAGTAAACAATCTAATCGGAGAAACTAAATAAAATCATTTGGCTTCAACTTTCTGGCTCGTTCTGAGCTTCCTTCAATGCTTTGTAAGCCGTAACTAAAATTATAAAACAAAACTTCTCGTTTTGCCTTTGGACGATTAGTTTAAACAATATACTTAAAATGCATCGTTCTGCTTGTAAAAAATAACACGATTTACCGCATTCAAAGGAGAAATCCCAAAAAATTAACTAGTACCAAGACTAAATCTTTGCCATTACGGCCAAAATCTGTCATTCTAAGTCTAGATAGACCAAATTCTGATTGGCAGAAACTAACTTTAAGTACCAATGACTGACTATAAATCCTCGAAAAGTCAATCACAATTTCATTTGACATAGACTAAGATAATCGAGCTATCGGACAACTGATTATTCTCCAATTCCTATGGAAATTCTCTACACACGCACATGGCTGTGCTAGCTTTATATCACTCATGAGATTAAACCGATTGAGAAAAAGTCTGTAAAAAACTCTGGAAAACGTTTTCAAGACGTTTCAACTTTGGCGTAAATCTTTCGCCCAAATCCTCTCTGTAGAAAATACTTAGATTGAAAATAACTTCTCACATAGCTAGTCATGATAATTTTAAGACATCATATGAAAAACAAACAAACAAACAAACAGTAGTTTGAGAAGGATATCAAAGATTAAGCTCGTAAAAGCAGTTCAGACAAGCAAAAAGGCAACTTTTGAATCAATGGAAATCTGTTCTCTTGTTAAACTTGACTTTGGTTCTTCCTGCTTTGAGAAGAATACTCTTGACAAAGGTTTCATCGGTAGCTTACTGGTTTCTGGTCCAAATTTCAGCATTTGTAGGTATTCGAAAACTCCCTGGGATTCCAATGCTAACTGCCTTACCTGAAAAATAAAAGAATCTAAGTTTAGGGAGGATAGTTGAGTTGCCGTGAAATACTTCTTTGCACATGAAACGATACACTGCACAACAGGATTGTTTTAAAAGAAATTTGCTATTTTACTCCCATCATGTTTCCAAAAATAAATGTTATCATAGTAAACGTGTCCACTTGATTGTACTGCATCTCAATTCGCCGGAGCAAAAGATAAATTCGTGACCCAACTGAAAGGAAAATAACACGCAAGTATCACTGCTCACATATGAGCAAAGATTATAATTTAATGTAACTTTGTACTGAATAGAATGTATCAACAGAATTATTACTTGCTGCATCTTCTAAATCTCCTCGAAATCCAGGTTGACGTCGTCACCAATGAGTACAAATGGTGCCCAGTGCCAAACCTCCTTGAAATTTTCAATTTCTCTCATACACTTCATGGCCTGATTGAGAGCTTCACTGGCCTTCTTGCCTTCGGTAAGTGCATCGTAGAAGAAACTCATGAACTCTATGGTTCCCTCGTCGCCAATCGCGCACAAGGTTACCACAACAGATCTGGCACCGGCACCCAAAAGTGCACGCGCCATGCCGACCACACCCTCGGCCATGACCTCCCCACGAGCAGTGTGACAGCAGCTAAGTACAACCAGACGTGCTCGCAACCCAGCTTCTATGACATCTTTCATCGTCAGTAGATAGTCTTTCTCTTGCGGCTGAGGGTTATCTCTTGTGGTGTTTGGTGCCAGGATAACTTCTCCAGTTTCCATTTTACCGTGCGCTGCTATGTGAACTAACGCCACTGATGATATTCGTTTTAACACTTCATCTTTTGTTGCCATTTCTCCAGTGAGAGGGGAAACATTGAGGATACGTCCGATCATCTCTACTTCTTTCCTTGCTCCTGGAAGTTGCACCAAAAGTTCACCCTCATAGAAGATATGTTTGAAACATGGGTCGCCGACAAGCAACGCACCAGTCTTCATGTGAAAGTCAGTTGGACAATCATGAATTAGTTGCAAGGTTGTCAGAGAGGGAAGCACACGAATCCTGAAAGAACCACTTAGATATGATGAGTTGGAGTCCTGCAACGCTGCATAAGGTACAAGGCTAAATGGTCCCTCAGGAATGAATGTGATCTCGTCATTTCCTTCGATCAGGTCAGCAATAGGAGTAACGATGATGTCATGCAGCTTCTTTAAAGCACTTGATTGGGAGTGCCTCACATCAACTCGGATCACATCATTGGCCACTTCCTCTTCTGTCAGCGAGTCAAGCAGAGGATTTTCGATTGTAATAGTATCTTTTGCAACGATCTTCTCAAGAGCAGTTTTGTTCAGTTGCTGGATGAAAAATTCCAATTCATCCTCAAACTTATAATCGTTGACGTGTACTTCCCTCATCTTGATATTATTTTCACCGAGGCAAACCCAGAAGTAAACGCATGGTCCATTAATGGCTATGAAAATTGTGCTCAATGGAACCCACCTCAGAGAAATGCGGGATGCGCTGGGCGTTAAAGAATCTCCAGGCTGATATTTTGTGACCATGAGATCTCTCAGAGCTTGAGCACGTCCTTTCTCTGCGGCAAGAAGAGCCTTCACAACTTGACCTCGATTGAGATTTATACGCCACAAACCCTTGTATGCTACTTGGTGCTGATTACGATAACAAATCTTCCACTGATCGTTGAGTTGAAGTCTGGCCCTGATATCATCATACAATTCTACACTGGAGTAATAATAGTCAAAGGCCTTCATGAGATTTCCTTGGCACTCATAACTGCTTCCAAGGGCACAGAGTGAGCACGCCTCTCCAGTCTTATATCCCACTTCTTTGGATATTTCTAGGTGACGTTGATAACACTCGATTGCCATTTTCGACTCTCTTTGACGAAGATGAATCCCGCCGAGAAGGCAATAACTAATTCCCTCTCCAGCCCTGTCTCCCACTTCTTTAGCAATTTCTAGATGACGTTGATGGTACTCGATTGCTGTTTTAAACTGTCTTAGACTGCGATAAACAATGCCGAGACTGCAATAACTATTTCCCTCTCCGGCCTTGTCTCCCACTTCTTTAGCAATTTCTAGATGACGTTGATGGTGCTCGATAGCTGTTTTGAACTTTCCCAGACCTTGATAAGCGTTGCCGAGATTGCCATAACTTCTTCCCTCTCCGGCCTTGTCTCCCACTTCTTTAGCAATTTCTAGATCACGTTGATGGTACTTGATGGCTGTTTTGAACTCTCCTAGACCTTGATAAGCGTTGCCGAGATTGCAATAACTTTTTCCCTCTCCGGCCTTGTCTCCCACTTCTTTAGCAATTTCTAGATGACGTTGATGGTACTTGATGGCTGTTTTGAACTCTCCTAGACTGTCATAAGCGTTGCCGAGATTGCCATAACTTGCTCCCTCTCCGGCCTTGTCTCCCACTTCTTTAGCAATTTCTAGATGACGTTGATGGTACTTGATGGCTGTTTTGAACTCTCCTAGACCTTGATAAGCGTTGCCGAGACTGCCATAACTTTTTCCCTCTCTGGCCTTGTCTCCCACTTCTTTAGCAATTTCTAGATGACGTTGATGGTACTTGATGGCTGTTTTGAACTCTCCTAGACCTTGATAAGCGTTGCCGAGACTGCCATAACTTTTTCCCTCTCCGGCCTTGTCTCCCACTTCTTTAGCAATTTCTAGATGACGTTGATGGTACTTGATGGCTGTTTTGAACTCTCCTAGACCTTGATAAGCGTTGCCGAGATTGCCATAACTTTTTCCCTCTCCGGCCTTGTCTCCCACTTCTTTAGCAATTTCTAGATGACGTTGATGGTACTTGATGGCTGTTTTGAACTCTCCTAGACCTTGATAAGCGTTGCCGAGATTGCGGCCTTGCTTTCTTTAGCAATTTCTAGATGACGTTGATGGTACTTGATGGCTGTTTTGAACTCTCCTAGACCTTGATAAGCGTTGCCGAGATTGCAATAACTTTTTCCTCTCCGGCCTTGTCTCCCACTTCTTTAGCAATTTCTAGATGACGTTGATGGTACTTGATGGCTGTTTTGAACTCTCCTAGACCTTGATAAGCGTTGCCGAGATTGCCATAACTTGCTCCCTCTCCGGCCTTGTCTCCCACTTCTTTAGCAATTTCTAGATGACGTTGATGGTACTTGATGGCTGTTTTGAACTCTCCTAGACCTTGATAAGCGTTGCCGAGATTGCCATAACTTGCTCCCTCTCCGGCCTTGTCTCCCACTTCTTTAGCAATTTCTAGATGACGTTGATGGTACTTGATGGCTGTTTTGAACTCTCTAGACCCGTTGCCGAGAGACTGTCACTTCTTTAACTAGATGACGTTGATGGAGATGGCTTGCCGAGATAACTCTTTTTCCCTCTCCGGCCTTGTCTCCCACTTCTTTAGCAATTTCTAGATCACGTTGATGGTAGATTGATGGCTGTTTTGAACTCTCCTAGACCTTGATAAGCGTTGCCGAGACTGCCATAACTTTTTCCCTCTCCGGCCTTGTATCCCACTTCTTTAGCAATTTCTAGATGACGTTGATGGTACTTGATGGCTGTTTTGAACTCTCCTAGACCTTGATAAGCGTTGCCGAGACTGCCATAACTTTTTCCCTCTCCGGCCTTGTCTCCCACTTCTTTAGCAATTTCTAGATGACGTTGATGGTACTTGATGGCTGTTTTGAACTCTCCTAGACCTTGATAAGCGTTGCCGAGACTGCCATAACTTGCTCCCTCTCCGGCCTTGTCTCCCACTTCTTTAGCAATTTCTAGATGACGTTGATGGTACTTGATGGCTGTTTTGAACTCTCCTAGACCTTGATAAGCGTTGCCGAGATTGCAATAACTTTTTCCCTCTCCGGCCTTGTCTCCCACTTCTTTAGCAATTTCTAGATCACGTTGATGGTACTTGATGGCTGTTTTGAACTCTCCTAGACCTTGATAACCGTTGCCGAGATTGCCATAACTTGCTCCCTCTCCGGCCTTGTCTCCCACTTCTTTAGCAATTTCTAGATGACGTTGATGGTACTTGATGGCTGTTTTGAACTCTCCTAGACCTTGATAAGCGTTGCCGAGACTGCCATAACTTTTTCCCTCTCCGGCCTTGTCTCCCACTTCTTTAGCAATTTCTAGATGACGTTGATGGTACTTGATGGCTGTTTTGAACTCTCCTAGACCTTGATAAGCGTTGCCGAGACTGCCATAACTTTTTCCCTCTCCGGCCTTGTCTCCCACTTCTTTAGCAATTTCTAGATGACGTTGATGGTACTTGATGGCTGTTTTGAACTCTCCTAGACCTTGATAAGCGTTGCCGAGATTGCAATAACTTGCTCCCTCTCCGGCCTTGTCTCCCAGTTCTTTGGCAATTTCTAGACATTGCTGAAGATACACGATTGCTGTGTTGAACTGCCCAACATTATAGTAAGTACATCCGGTACTGGCATAAGTGTTTGCTTTGACTCTTAGTTCGGCATTCGATTTCCTCATTAATTGAAGCAGACTTTCGTTATTGTTTTCAATCTTAAAACGTGTCAAGGGTTGCTAAGTTATGAGCGGTTCGCAAAAATGCAATGGAAATGTGTTTTTTAAAAGTGATGAGAGTATTGGATAAAACCTTCAAATTGGAATGATAATTCTAGCGTGGGTTTCTTGAAGAGATTTGATTTCAAGTTATTCGAAAGTGTTGAATGGCTCTGAAGTGCATTTATTAGTTTAGGTTCAGTCGTCATGGAAATATGAGGGGCATTCAATAGGAACTCTGGGAATTAGTTAATATTGCCTCTTCTTTTCAGCAAAGTTTCATGGAATAATCGAGAGAACTCCTTAATAATATTTTAGCTTCTTTAAACTGCTCAGTGCAGTATAAGAGAACATCGCTCGCACTATGTGTAGAAGAATCTGCCTGGAACGTATTGATTATTCTTGAAATATTAGTCGCATTGCATCTCGTATCACGTTTAAAATATTCGTTAAAGGATACAGTCAATCCCATATGCAACCAGCTCCTTGCTTCTTTATACCAGCAAAGTTCGGCACAAGCTCTGGCTCCTGAAAAGGAGGGAATAATTGGTGGTGCGAGGTAATTTATCACTGTTAAGGTATAAAAGTATTGATAAAATGGACTTAATTTGTCATTTGGCTGGAAACAAAGATTTTGATTATAAAGGAAATTTGAACTTGTAGAAGGACTGAAAAGGAACAATAAAGAGCTAATGCAAAGTGGCTACCAACTAAGGTTCAACCGATGATGATAACGATGAATTTATCTCACGCATTCTTCGTTTTAATGTGCTCTTATGCGCTTTTCAGCACTTTTCAGGGAAGTTTTCAGGCAGACTGCATTGAGCAGTTTAACTTTTGAAAGGGAATTTTTCAGGGCCTCCTTGCCAGGTTTTTTAACGTCCCCTGCTAAGAGTCACAGAGAAGATGCAAGAAACGGGGCTTACGGTCTTCCATTCATGTCCGGGACAATAATATCAGACCATTTGCAGATGTCGTAGCTTGGGTGACAGCACATTCTCCTCAGATATTTTACGACTCCGAGTGTTGGTCCGGTCGAGGTTTAAACCCTCGACCTCCGGCGCTCTACAACGTGAACTAACAAGGCAGCGGTATTTGAGAGCTTTTTGACATTTTCTTCTGCTTTTTACCCACATAACAGACATTGACACACCAGATACGATTGATACTTGGGGTGCAGTCACCTGCCACAAACTACACAATCCTCTTTTGACGAAATCAGAGAATAGAATGTTGATGACTTATGTCCGAAACACCCACCTTTCTTAATAGCTTTGATTAACGAGGGTTCCAATTGAACGGCAACTGTTGCATCATCGAGACATTCCACGTAGTTTGCTATGAGATTCAGGAAATAAGGTTTAAAAAAGTGATAATCATATGGAGTTACAACAAAGAAGCCTTAAAAAATTACAATTACTTAAAATGTAACGAGAATCATTTCTTTGCTTAATTTTCATTCGCTGCAGGGCGATTTATGTTTTTATGCCACTTTTCTGCAGTTTGTCGATCTTTTCTTCTCTTGATGCAGATTGTGTATTCCGTTACCTTGTAACGCTGCATGAGAGATTTAGATATTTAGATATGAAATTGTTACCCAAACGGAAATGAGCTGTTGCCCTGTTGCTGTAAAGCTTGGCGTTGAGTCGTTTATCTTTGCAGTTCACTTTAAGTCCTTCCGTGTAGGAGTTTATTGCGTTATTAGCTTCTCCTTGTCTGTATTCTTTGTTACCTTTCTCCACACATACTTTCGCTATTTCTGAAAACACAACGTTTTAGTGTTAATGATTTGTAATGAGTGAAACGACCCTTGACGGATGATGTCAACTTTATATATCCAAACGACTTTTAGGTTAAAGGATCTTAAAGCAATGAAAAAAAAAATCAGAAAATTTTAATACCTGTACAGTTTGTTTAAGTAAAATGTATAAGCTGTTGGGAGTCTGGGCTGTAGCTTGGCTATTGCTAGATCAAGTCTGTTCGGTTTACATTTAGGTCGAGAGGCTTTCACAAACCCCTTTTACACCTGGCTTACGTTTTCCAAAATATCACAAGTTTTACCAGGAGATCCTATTTCAACTATATTTCCTTTACAATCGCCCTTCAGGAGAGTTTATCTGTGCATTTTGTTCACTTTAAAATATGCAAGCTATTTGGAGTTTTAGCTGTAGCTTGGCTATAATCAGATCAAGTCTGTTCGGTTTACATTTACGTCGAGAGACTTTCCAAAAACCCTTTTAAAGCTGCGTTACGGTTTTCCAAAATATCAAGTTAGAATATAAAATTCCATGAGTTACTAAGAAAAAATGCATAAAGCAGAGCAAAGCCAGGACCGAAAAGGTTAAAACTTTTTAATATTCTGATAAAAAAAAACATTGTACTAAGAGTGACAAGAGTTCGTGGTTTGCCCATCCTTCAGAAAAGTGCGCCGGAAAACATGTTTTTGTTTTTGTTTTTTTTTCTTTGTTAGTACTTGGTTTTTCCCATACATGTGATGTCTATTTAGAACATACTCGTATAGACTAACTGGAAAAACTTTGATTGGGAAAGTACCACTTTCCCACGAAGTGCCATTTTGCCTGTTATAAAAGTCAGGGGTTCTAAATTTTGTTGACTAGTGGTTTACAGCGTGGGTCTGATGTTGACATTACTGTCTAAAGAGGCGTGAAATATTTAGAGGACCAAAACAGGCGATACGGCCGAGACAAAATGCCTCCTCTTCTCTGTGTAGAATTCTCAAATTGCGTAAAATTTCTGCCAAACATGTATTGAACGGTAAAGGAAAAGGTGTTAGCGTAAATACTTTCTTTTTGCGGCCTCAAAAAGTTACCCGTTTGCAAATTTTTCAAAACTCGACTTAGACGGGTCTAAGGGTACTAACAGCTCTCTCTTGCCGAAAATGACTTTCATACTAAAAGTGACCAAATTTAGAACACTTTCAAGTGCAAAAAGGATAATACCTTTTCACCGCAAATATCGTTCATTTTAGGTGTAAATTTTAGATACATCGTTAATCTCTAAAACATTTTGCGCTGATTTATAAGTAAGCACTTCTAAAACTCAGAATACTGAGTTTTACGGAGCCTAGTAGGCAAATTTTGGCCGATTCTTCTTTAAGTTAGGGCTCTTCGAAGCGAAGTCGCCTTCAAATTTGTCGTTTTATTGCTTATGAATAATTAATAATGTATATGCATTTTACCTGATCGGATCGAGCAATAAATTGTTTTTTCCTTTGGTTTTTCATTTTACTGGTAACAGAGTTTGGATTTGAAGAAACAATCTTTTTGCTGTTTCAAAAACTTATTTACAGAGCAGACGCAAATTTTGATGTAAATGTGACAAAACTTCACTGGGGCGTCTTTCAAAAAATCTTGTTTCACCCGGTGTTCTTACCTCTTAAAGGGTCATTGTATACATCCAGTTCAGCGTCACTTGACGTAACTTGACTTTCCTCTGTTGTTGAAATTACCGAGAAGATATTTCAACTTTGTTAGCTTGAGTGATCACAACTATGTTCACTTACAGTTAGCGTTCTAATACTGACGTATTTGGTGGATTCTAAAAACCTTCAAGTCGAAATGATCCAAAAAAATTGTGCACCAGAATTAAGATATACTTAATTAATAAACAGTACAAATTCACCACAAATAAGTCTTTCCCTGTTGCTTTTTCTCACCTGTGACTGGAAACTCATTTTTTTCCTCCAGTTCTCCTCCCGTTGTTGGGAGGTTACCTTCTGCCATAGCTAGAAATAAAATTAAATCGGTTGTATTGCGCTATTTTGTTAAAAATAAAAATAAAAAACAAAGAGCATGTGTAAAATGTCCCTAAAAGCTATCGAAAAATTGCTGACAAAGTCTCTTTTTTTATTAACAGAATTATAAGTTCTAGTCAATAAAGGAAGGAACCAGGAGATTTAGAATAACTGGAAGAGCTCGTCCCTCTCCAAATTATGTTGGGGAAGGATCCGATTTTTTTCATTTCGGATTCAAAAAAGGGCACTAAATACGAGGTTATTTTGGGAGACTGGAGAGGATAGCATTGGGAAGTGTCCTATTCATCAAAACTCTTGTTATCAAGAAACTTCATCTACAACAAATTGAAAGCCGTGCGCAACACACAGACTCCTGCATAGCTTAATACTGTTGGCCATCGAATGAATTCACTGCCAAGCCATGTGCATTTGGCGGAGGAAGTAGACTGAAAGCGAAATGAAACTGAAAAATTATTTGTGAACGAATTGCTAATTAAAAAAGAATCTTTTGCAATATTATAGCGAACGGGAAATTTAGGACATTTCCCTGAAGCTGCTGAGGTTGGCTTGCCCTACAGAACAGGATTCTGCTCCAATATCAGCATTTACTGAGCCCACAGTTAAATCTTCCAGCGCATGATTTAAACACGCAAACATTGTACCCATTTAGTCATCGCGCGAAAAGGTATACCTACTAAAACCACACTCTGATAGATAACCAGTAAGAAATGATACTACTAACCACCTTGTAGATACGTAGTTCGAACATTTGAATACAAAAATTTATTAACCGTCGACAATTACCGTGTCAAGTTTCGCGAGGAGTTGGGTTGATGTTCCAAAGTGTTTAAAAAAACTAGAATAATTAATCGTGTTGTTGACGAGGTTTCGTTTTCATATTTAATCAAGAAATCGTAGTCATCGTGATTCTGGTGTTGAAAATTTCACTTTTGTTGACACGTTTTCCCAATTTCTCTCTGCTATTTATATGTTTAGGTGGGACCCGTGAGCGAGCAGGAACCTATGCTCCGATCGGCTACCTAAGAGTGCAAAATGTGTTTTCTTTCGATTCCCACTCCAAAGAGATAATTCAATTGAAGCAGATAAATTCGTATCCACAAGCGGACATGTATCATTCTTTTTATTCAAGAGTATTGATTGTAAATGTGAATGAAATACAATTTTTAAATAGGAGCATCGAAAACAGAGATTCACTGCACCGAAACTCACCTCGCCGGAAAACAAT